CTGCAGCACGTCTTGCAGGCAGGACAAATCGTAAATTGAAGGTTTTGTGGCTAGGTTGATGTCCCAGTCCCTCCAGTGGAAGCCTTGCCTGGTTACAGAAGCTGGCTAGTTCAGACTCCATATCCCCCATTACTAGGAGTTTTCAATGGGGGCACCCTTGTAGATTCCTGGGAGTTTCCACTGCATTAGGTTTCTATCTCACCCCTGAAATGCCCCCCAATTCCAGTCATTTCTCCCCCATCCCACCCACCTTGTCCCTCCTGTTCCCATCCCCACCTGCCTCCAGTCCACTCATGAAATTTATTCCCCCTTCCCAGGGAAGAACTATGTGTCCACCCTTGGGCCCTCCTTGTTACCTAGCCTCTCTGGGTCTTCGGATTGTAGCATGATTATCATTTACTTAACAGCTTCTGAAATTAGATGAGATTGGGCGTGTTCAGGGTGGTATGGCCGTAGACTACTTAACAGCTAATATCCACTTATAAGTAAGTACATACCATGTTGTCTTTCTGGGTCTGGATGATCTTACTTAGGATGTTTTCTTTCTTTCTTTCTTTCTTTCTTTCTTTCTTTCTTTCTTTCTTTCTTTCTTTCTTTCTTTCTTTCTTTCTTTCTTTCTTTCTTTTTTTTCTAATTCCATCCATTTACCTGCAAATCTCATGATGTTATTGTTATTATTATTTTAAACAGCTGAGTAATACTTTTTTTTTCCCCCAGACAGGGTTTCTCTGTGTAATTTTGGTACCTGTCCTGGATCTCGCTCTGTAGACCAGGCTGTCCTCGAACTCACAGAGATCCGCCTGCCTCTGCCTCCCAAGCGCTGGGATTAAAGGCGGGTGCCTCCACCACCTGGCATGAGTAATACTTTTTAAGTAGGAAGAATAGGTGTTTTATGAAGAGCAGGCTGTCTGTCAGGCTTAGGAGTGGGGTTGACTGTAGGCAGCTGGAGCAGGAACAGCAGCAGTGAGGCCAGTTTTTCTGTGGTCCTTGATGATGGGAGATCGCATCGACGACTAGGTGGTGTGGACCGCATGGTGACTATTGCTGCTTGACCACGTTCCAGCGTTTCAACATTGCAGACCACACTTCTCCAGCACCCTTTTTACTTTCAATTTTAATGATTCTCGATATTAATGCCTTTCCCTTTGGGAAATTTTGTGTGGCTTTGGTAAAGGATAAAAATGTGTACAGTGGTAGACTCTCTAAATCAAATAATTCTTTGGAAAAATAAATCCCCGCCACCATAGAACCAGGAATTCCATTGTGCCCTCCTAATTACACCAAGAACAGGAAATATCTACAATTCAGATCCTGAGCCTGAGACCATTAAGGGCAAGAGTTCAGTTAATAAATGTAGAGCAATCAGAATGCTATAGTATAATGGAAAGAGTAAGACCTCAGAACCTTCCCTTTTGGGATCCTTATGAGGGGAACAGGCTCATACAGTAAGACTAAGAAACTGTAGTATACTGCCTGCTCCCCAGAAGTCCTTTCCATAGGTCAGGCATTTGGATAAAGGTCTCCATTCCCTTGGGAGCTTGAGGAAAATTCCTGCTTGATAAAGTAGTCTG